GCACATCTGCATGCTGAGATAGTAAATAAATTGCAAATGCGATTGCAGAGCTGGTAGTATCGTGTCCTTCAAACATAAATGTATCGACTTCTTCACGAATTTCACGATCTGTTAGATCACCACCTTCAATTTGTGATATGAGCAACATGTCTAAGAAAGCAAGGCGCCGCTTACTACCTATATCATCAGTTTTATCTACATCACTGAAGGTGCTGATTTGAGAATTCTTCAGCATTTCGCGTCTAAGTTTGATCACCCGATTCGTTTCATCATGCAATACTTTCAATGCTGCATCACGTGCCTTTCCGGCCCCACTAAACTTGAAAAGTATATTAAATCGTTGCCAAAATGAGAATGATTGCTTATGCAAAATACGGCAAATACTGTCAAATATAAAAAGCAACTTATTTTCTAGCAAAGGTTCTCAATTTGTATCTCAATCATGTTATACTTACTCCTGCACTGCTTGCACATATTCAGAATTGGCTTGCAACTGCGCATTCTTCTTAATGCCCATTGCTGTTTCGCATATCGCATCCAATGCGAAGAGTGTTATGTAAGGGTAAATATCGAACGGTTGACCATCAGCTTTTGCAAGTAATTGACTAACTAAGATTTTACAATTCTCTTCCATGGGTTCCTTAAATTCACTTAATATTTTGAAATGAAAACCAGGTGTGAGTAGTTTCCTGCGTCTGTGCCAAGATTCACCACTATTTGTGAGTAATCCTTTTCCCAACCATGATTCAACAATTTCATAATTACGAGATTTTGTTAGTAAAGTATTATTGCTGAGTATGTGCTTAATGTCTTCTGGATTTGTGAAGAATACCATTAAATCCTTACCAAACCAAATGCGAAAAGTTGAACCATGCTTTTTACGTTGCTCTTGAAGCCAATTTAAAATTCCTGAAATGACAAATATTAATTTAAATATAAAATATAATAAATGAGTTTATAATATTAGTTAATCTAATCACAGAAACTGATCTAAAACAATAATTATCAAACATAAAAATTAGAAATCATACGATTAAGATAAACAATTACGTATATATTGATAAGCAATTATCAACTTTACTATAACGAATTTACTATAATAATTATCAGTCAGTCTTATCTGATAGACCTACAATATTAGCGATATGAAGAGGGTTAAACACACCTGGTTACTTCGCTTTCATCTGAACATTTCATGCAGAAAATTGAAGACCTTCTTTTAAGCAAAACAATAAATTATTGCATATATTATCAAGTAATTAATTACAATAATAATGAAATAAACAAAAAATTAGTTCATTAAAAAAAATATAATTGCTAAGTAATAGATATATAGATGTGCTTCCATAATTTTGACAAGATATTAGTTGTCCAAATATTTAATCCATATCATTATAATTGTATCCATTTCTTTCTGGTCATATCGTTTAATCGTCTATCGTTTAATACAACAAAAACTTGTTTACTCGCACTTTTTTGAATGAATAATTAAAAAAACAGTACCGGAATTGGGTTAAAAAATCAATGCATCCGATAAAACTCAGTAATAGTTAATTAAATAACACACAAAACTTGTGTCTCCATTCCTGACCTTCACCGACTATTATCTGTTCACTTACTTTAAAGGTATGTTCCAGAGAATGAGATTTCACAAAAGTTATCCCGAAACAGTGACGTTTTACAAAAACCTGAGCAAATCGTTTAATAAGAAATGTGTAGAAATTTTAAAAAAATGTTGATGGTATTATATTAGATTTAAAGAAGAATATACGGATAATTATAACCTTGTATTTTTCTAAATAATGGGCTTTCATATGTAAAATTAAAAACATCTCAGTACACCTAATATTGTGACTAATAATTTGAGTATTGAAATCTTAGGAAAAATATAATATTGTACAATACATTAAACACTGTATAGGAAAAGGTCTTTAACCTTATAACCATTTTTATGAAATCTTTTAAAATATTAAATATTATATGCACCCTGCACTCTGGACACCTAGTTAATAATAATACCCGTCGACACTGTAATAATTCGGAATATGTATGTTATGTATATGTACGAGTATTATAAATATAAAAACAAATTTATTTTTGCCAATCATTGTTTATCAGTTCTGTTTTGTCTTCAGAAACTAAAACTCCTAATACAATTTAATACTAACATAATAAGACAGATAAGAAAATGTCTAGAATGGTGAAAATTTTTGTATGTCAGTATGTTTAAAAATCTAAGTGCTACGAATGCATAGATTAAGCAATTTATATTAATTCGTAATTATTTTGAGATATTTTGTACTATAAAAATTGTTGCGGTTAGTGCTCGATTTTAACTTAATATAAATGACAAAAGTATGAATTACATTGAAAATTCACTAAAGTCACTCTTAGCGATTTGCCTGTATATAAAGAGTAAATGTTACTTGCTAGTACTTACTACTATTGTCACAATTTTTTTAGTTAACGACAAAGATATTTCATTATATTTCCTTAGTTGGAAAAGAATCTATACGTCATCAAAGACGTGAACAAGATATAGGAATGACATATCAGGCTTAGATATATGGTATACCTGTGAACTGATTGATCTAAATGTATGGCGGTCATTGAAGACATATGATTAAAATGTCATTAAAAACTGATTCGCTATAATGTCTAGCATAGCCTCTGGTTTTGTCCAATATAACAGAATTATATTTACATGTATATAAATTATACATAAATTTATTATCAAGTTTTTTGCGACTAATTCAGTTGTTGTTATTTTATTTTATTTTATTTAATGCCCACCTTTTCTTTTACTACTTGTTTTGTCATTGTTTCTGTGTTTTTGGAATAGTGTATGCTTGAAACTTTTAGACCCCTAATCTTTTCAAAGTAGGTAAGCGGTTTTGTTCTATTGAACGGTCCCAACTCCTAATCCTTCTGCGTACAATGAACTAATATTTTAGAAACAGTTAAATTAAAGTTATGTTAAAATAGTTTTTAGAAGTGAATTATCCTAACATACTACACCGACCGTGAACTACACTAACTCACTTTCTTGGGAAACCTAGTATGAATTATATATTTTGGAATATAATTTCAAATAAACAAACGTCACTGTTTTTGTTCAATATTTATTTTATATAAGATAAATTCTTACGAAACGTTAAGAAGTACTTTATAAATAGAAACATTTTTGGGTAGTGGAAGTAGGTTGGGGGTAGGAATTTGTTGTGTTTCTTAAATAACCTTTCTCTCACATGTAGCAGATGTGCGGTCTCTAATAAATTTTTTTATTTAAAAATATTTAAAACAATAAATTTCTTACAAAAACTAATATCAGTTTTATTCATTTGTGGTAATCATCATCTAAATTTTTTTTATATTCCGTTGTAAACAATTCTTTGAAATAATTACAAATAATTACTTTCATTATCGCTGAACAACAAGAGTATTTATTAATGAAATATATAATTATCTTTAAGTTTTCAATTGTTTTTCATATAAAAATTATAGAAAAATTGAGCTTTGTGTTGAAAAAATGTAATTAAAATAATTTACTAGTAATCACAATTATAATAGTAAATAAGATTATTTTAATCATAATTCTCATATTTAGATTCAGATCATATATACTGCATAATGAAAAGTAAATGCAAGCTGAAAATTGCAAAGAAAATCTGTTACACACATGAATACATATAAGGTTGACATTCTATCCACTTTATGACAAAGTATGTATTTATATACATTAAGACCGAAAAGTTTTCGGAAATTCTCATTTAAAATTCGCGCGCTGTATATTTTTCGATATTTTAAGTTTATGTAGTTTGGCAGCACTGTCCTTAATTACTATGCCAAAAATGAGCGCGATCTGTCAGACAGTTCGTTTACGGCAGCTGTTGAAACCAGTTCCCCTCAGTAGTGCGTTGCGAAAAAAACAATGGAAAAAAATATTGAACAAAGAGTTTGCATCAAATTTTGTGTTTCGAACGAAATTTCGTGTGCAGAATCGTTGCGAATGCTACAAAAGGCTTATGGGGAATCAGTTTTATCGAAAACTCAAGTTTATGAGTGGTACAAAGCCTTTCAGTACGGTCGTACGACCGTCGAAGACATTTCGCAACGCACTACTGAGGTGAACTGGTTTCAAC